TTGCCTATGCGGTTAGTAAACTCAGTATATATACGAGTAACCCCGGTGCTATGCACTGGAAGGCAATAGTAAAGGTTATGAGATACTTGAGGTATACTCGTGCTCTTGGACTGCACTACGGGAGATATCCCGCTGTACTTGAAGGGTACAGCGACGCGAAGTGGATATCCGATATAAAGGACTCTAAGTCCACGAGTGGCTACGTGTTTACACTAGCCGGTGCAGCCGGTGCATGGAAATCCTCTAAGCAAACTGTTATAGCTAGATCCACGATGGAATCTGAGCTGATAGCCTTGGACAAAGGTTGTGAAGAGGCTGAATGGCTACGCCATTTTATAGAGGACATTCCTAAATGGGAAAGACCGGTACCTCCAATATGTGTGCATTGCGATAGTCAAGCCACAATCGGGAGAGTACAGAGTCATATGTATAATGGTAAGTCTAGACATGTGCGTCGTAGACATAATACCATTAGACAACTGCTCACAACCGGTGTTGTCTCGATTGACTACGTAAAGTCAAAAAACAATATAGCGGATCCGCTAACCAAAGGGTTAGGAAGAGAAGTTGTGGAGAAGTTGACACGAGGAATGAGTCTAATGCCCTTGGACTAAAAAGTTCTATAGTGGATACCCAACCTAGCTGGCACCTAGGTTCAATGGGACAACTAAATTATGGAACGGAGCGCGTCACTGTGGGGGTCTCGGACTCCCAACCACTCCTCGTTAAAGCAGTGACTCCCGCAAGAGGCTAGCATGTTAATGCTTTAATGATTCTTGAGTATGCGGGATACTCGAGAAAGAATCACCTATGTTAGAGAGAAGTGAGGGTCGCTTCAAAGGAGAATTGTTGGGCACAATTCTTTAGAAACTCTCGCAGAACCAGGAACGGTGACCCACGACCAAAACGGGCACACTCATGAGAGCAAGAGCATGGTTGGGAGATTCCTGTGTGAGATATGTCATCGTCTACACAAACGGCAGTCGGTTCAAAGACATCGCGTTCTACCGTACAGCCAGTAGAGTAAACATGTTTTTACAAGGGAAGGTTCAAAGGGTATAGTGACTCCCTACCTATCCTATGCAGGGATCGACCATTTGAACACAGTTGTTTCTGATTTCAAAATACCCCGAAAATCAATTTTTCATTCATGTGGGGGATTGTTGGAAAAAATAGCTTAAAATGGCATAAAATGGCATGTTAAGTGGCTATTTTGTGGTACAATTATCAGTGGGGTCCACTTCCGGTTTGGGTCGGGTCAAAGTGGATTCGGGTACTTCATAGTGAGACGAAGAGATTGATATATTGTACGCTCAAAACGGATAATGGGTGAATGAGATATTGATTCTCAAAGTAGACCCATTTGAGTTGGAAAATGAAGGGAAAATGTAAGGTTTTGTCTCACATTGCTTTGGAATGAAGATTCCCCCCCCCCCCCCCCCCCCCCTTATATACAAGAGGTCTTTTGAAGCTTGTAGAATTGTATAGCATAGAGGCTCTCTCGCGCGGGGGAGGGGGGGGGTGCAAATCAAATTCCAACTTTCAGAGATTGAAAAAGGCTTGATTCAAGCCCGAGCTCGTGTGCGCCGGCACCTGCGGGCACGAATGTCGTCCGAAAATTGGCTGGCCTTGCGCGCTAAGTTATGCCAAACTTCGGGACCATTTTGCCGAAACTTGAGAAGTCTCAGCCTGGTGGTCGAGACTTGCGAGCCAGGTTTCAGCCTAGTGGCCGAAACATGCACCCAATGGCCGAAACATGCAAGTTTCGGCCACCTGAGGCCTTGGCCGAAACTTGCGAGTTTCGGCCTGGTGCCCGAAAGTTTGGCCTTTTCGTGGCTAAACTGAAGCTCCTTCTGTGACCGTTGGGGTTTTAATTCAGCTGTTACGGAGTTAATTCTTTGGAATTAATTCCAATTTTAATTTTGAATTAAAACTCAAGGTAGTGGTTGTTGTTATAGGAGTTGTGGGGGTGCCTTTTAATGCCAAAATAAAAGATATCTAACTCCTTGATCCCTATATAAGAGAGGGTAGTGAGAAGCAGTTATACACAAAAAAATTGAACACGAAAGTTCATCATTTTTTAGCCTCAAAACCTCTCTGCTTCTACTCTTTCTTTAGCTATACTGTGTTCATAGCCATTGTCTTGCTCGCCGGATTCTTTGTTTGAATGCTCAAACATTGGATCATGGCAAGTTTTATCCTGGGAAGCCTAGGCCACAACGCTCCTAGCATCTTTGGGAAGTGGCAAATAAGGTTTTAAGGAAAGAGTGCTCACTCGACTCTTGCAAAAACCCAACACCAAACACTAGCCTTTTTCCTCCATCTTTCCTTCCCTATTCTTTCCAGAAAAAATAATAATCTTATTTTTGATTATTATTTGTGTTTTCTACCAACGGTACCAACATACATTACCTTCCCAACCAAGTCCCGTAGGATTCCTTGAGCTAGGAAATGTGAGGGATGGCAGCTTAGATTGACCTAGCAAAGGTCAATCACTCAACACAATCCTAAGAGTTGATCAAGCTCCTTAGATGCATACAAAGCAATCCCCAACAACAAGACATAGAAGCATAGCAATCAATCAATCCCTAATTAAAGAACTAAGTCACATTGGCATCATCATCTCACACTTTTAGAGTTCAAACCCTAGCTAATCTAGCCTACAATAGCCACAAGAAACATAAAAGCATACATGAATCTAAATCTAATCAAAGCAATAGAAATGAAAGAGTAGATATTATACAAAACAAGTAGATTAGGAAATAAGAAGAAGTCTTGCAAGATCTCTTGAAATTGGAGGTTGTCAATCTCTTCCTTCAATGAATCTCCCAAGCAATCCAAGCATAGATTTACAATCTAGAGTGTTTTCTATAACTACAAACTGTCTAATCTCTTCCTCTATCTAAAATGTGTAAAAGTCTAAGAGAGTTTCTTCCAAATGTGGCTTCCTCCCTTAAAATCCTGATCTAAAACCTTTTAAATAGCCTCCCCTTTCAATCCCTTTTCACAGCCTTCAACGCCCCAAACAACGCACCATGTCCGGGAACTTATTCCGTCCAACGCGCGTCACAACACACGTTGTGATGCGCGTTGAACTAACTGGAATTCTTCTCTGTTTTTGCCTCTCCACAACGCACGCTGCAACATGCGTTGTGGCCTTCGTGGCTTGGTCTCGACTCGTCTTCTTGTCTCACTTTCGCTCCGGTTGTGCCACTTTGCCTCGTTTTAGCCCGAAACTTACCTAAAAACATATAAAACACAAAGTTTGGTGGTAATTTACTATAAAATACAAAACCTAGCTAAATTGGCATAAAATGGATACACAAAGCATTGTTTTAGACTTAAAATTCACCCCAAATAGACCTTAAAAGTGTGTGTCTTTGACGCTTATCAAACTTGGTTCCTAAACCTGAGGGAGTCAATATCATTGGAACAAAGTGGATATTCAAGAACAAGACTGATGAACTAGGAGATGTTGCAAGAAATAAATCCATATTAGTTGCTCAGGGATATACTCAGATTAAGGGAATAGACTATGATGAAACATTTGCTCCTGTAGCAAGATTGGAATCAATCAGAATTCTATTGGCTATAGCCTGCATATTGGGATTCACGCTATTGTGTTGATAGATATTTTATCTCACAGGAAAAGTATGTTAAAAATATTATAAAGAAATTTGATTTGGAATCATGCAAATCTCCTAAAACACCTATTTCAACATCAACAAAGCTGTCAAAAGACGATGCTGGTCAACTAGTTGATCCAACAGTGCATAGGAGTCTTACTGGAAGTTTACTGTATCGGACAGCCAATCGCCCAGATATCATGTATAGTGTAGGTATGTGCTAGATATCAGTCAGCCCCTAAGGAATCACATCTTATTGTTGCCAAGAGAATACTTAAATATGTAAAAGGTACTAAACATTATAGAATTTGGTATGCAAAGGACAGTGAGTTATGCCTTGTAGGATATTGTGATGCTGATTGGGCAGGTAATATTGATGATAGAAAGAGTATGTCAGGCGGTTGCTTTTTCATTGGGAAAATTTTGGTTTCATGGCTGAGTAACAAACAAAATTCTATTTCGTTAAATATTGCTGAGGCAGAATATATTGCAGCTGGAGGATGTTATACCTAATTCTTATGGATAAAGCAAATGTTGTTGGACTATGGGATTTCACAAGACTCTGTGACACTATATTGTGATAATATTAATGTCATTAACATCTCAAAGAATCCAGTTCAGCACTCAAGGACTAAGCATACTAAAATAAGACACCATTTCATAAAAGAGTTTGTTGAAGGAAACGAAATTGAGTTGAAATATGTTTAGATAGAGAAACAACCAGTGGATATACTAACGAAGCCACTTGATGCTAATCGTTTTGAAATTCTCAGGTTAGCCCTGGGAGTCTGTCGAAAGGAATGTTAAGTTAGATCCTATCTCAAAAGTAGATCGGTACATATACCATTTATTCTATAAGTCAAAGATCTTTTACGATATATATAATAAATTGTACAATTCTTGACCGTAGTTTCCTTCTAAGAGTCAAATTGATTTGAAAATCAATTTATCCACAATCTTATCGCCTAAATGAGTCGTATTCCCTAGTTTTTCTCTAACCAAAATTTGAGAGAATTACTCTATCCTAAAATATCGTATTGGCTCTGTACTCACCACCATCTCTGCATTAACCCTGCACCTTTTACAACGTGTCAGTTTGCATTTAAGATACCTAACTGTCCCTCTGAAATGCTTTAGCTATTTCCAAGTCTTTCAAATCAACATAGAAGCTTTTTCCTTCGACGAAAATCTCTTCCTTTCCCAAAAACTCATAATTTTCAAAGTTAGGTTTCAACCAAATCTCCACACTCCACAATGGCGGATGCAGTAAAGAATATGATTGTGAGACTCCTCAACATAGAGCGTACTCCAGAAGATGCCTTGAAACTTGTAAAGTATTTTATCAGTATGGCTATCAAGAATAAGCTCACGCATGACCCTATGTTGGTCGAGGAAATCATTGCAATAGTTATTGCTGAATATCTAGAGTTCATTCGACACCTATCAATAGAGGACACCAGCCATATTCTGGACATGGAGAATGAGTCTGAAGCATTGCCGGCATCAATACCACCTCCGGCAAACGAGAACAAAGTAAGGGCGTTCTTGAAGTATTTCAGGGAACAAGCACTCGCTTGGGAATCTGCTCATCAACAGGCCAGAGAACAGGACAGGGAAGACACTCAGCAGCGCATACAAACTCTATATTCCAGGTCACAATCTCTGATTCCTATTATTGATATTTCCCCTAAAAAAACCTAAATCGTTTGAGAATTTGCTTGTCGATGAATCTGTTGATAAATCTTCTTCAATCTCTGTTGGTATGCCTACTGATGGATGTAGTTTAGCAGGACGGAAAAATGTAAACGGAGATGGAATCCCAAAGTGTCGATCTCACAAGGATGACAAATTGGAGTAAGTGGAGCGCAAGACAATTATAGCCAATGCATTCACAAGAGTTAACTAGGTAGAAGTAAGGTGTAAGAAGGCACGTATGCAAAGGTAGAGAGCAAGAATGTAAAGACAACAACCAAATATGTAAAACGGGGAATTGGACGGAAAGCATTTGATCTTATGCATTCAATGACCTAAAGTAGAAAGGAAGTAGTGCAATGCATGACTAACTTTAGGGAGAAAACGACACAATCACTAAGTCACGTAGGACTTAGACTCTTAGGTCCTAAGTCATCTAAGGCATTTCATCGAACACATTGTCTACCTCTCCTCCCGAGCCTTGCCCACTCCGATCGAAGGACGGGAAAAGTAAATGAGTAAGACTACATGGAAGCACAATCTCTTGCTACTTCCACTCTCTTATAATCCTCTTCTATTGGGATCCTTCAATGAAGAGAGAATCCATACACAACTCTTTCAAAACAAAAGTATTTTAGGTCAAGAATTACACAACATCTCCTCAATTCATCAATACAAATCAAGAATGCATAATCGCAAGTCAATCCAATCCAATTCCTAGAAGACCTAGCCACTCATCATCATTAATTGAAATCACAAAGCAATTGAATCAAGCTAGCAATGTAGAATATGGAAATTGAAAGTAAATGATGAAGGATTACCAACTTGAATCAGTAGAGTGAAATCAATCTACAAATTGGATAGAAGATCACCACAATCTAAGAGAGTTGTCAATTCTCCACGCCTCTAGATCTCTTCTTCCTTTAGCAATTGAAGAACAAAAGATGTAGCTAGTTGAATCTATCCTTATCTAACAAGAAATATCTAATCTAAACTAAGGGCTCTTGGAAAAATACCAAATGGAAAGATAGAATGAAAAGATGATTGTCAATCCCACCAAGTCACATTTAAAGTGCTGAAATTTGGCTTTAGTGCCCAGGCCACGAGCTCCAATTTTCGTGGCACTTTCTGGTATAGATCCATGACCACGATCGTGAATCACCACATTTGGACACTCCTAAATCAAGATATACTCCAAATACCGAACTATCATTGGAATGCCCTGAAAATGACAATGTTTTGCTCTTCTCCACAAATGCAACCACAATTAGTCATTGATCTTACCTTTTTATCAAAATAAGCTTTTCTAAGCATAAGCTCAAAAGACTCAAATTATAGCACAATATGTCTCCTAAATACCCCACAAAAGGTAGCATCTTTGGCACTTATCACCTACTAATTTTCCTGAGTCTAATTTGCCTGAGTATGATTTTCCTAAGTCTGATTTACCTATGTCTGATTTACCTAGGACATCAAAATCTTCATTGCCTATTCAATCTGTGCCTTCTACATCTGTTACTGAACTGATGCCCTCCGTGTATGGTGAACTTATAAATCCTATTCATGCCTATACTCCAGCCAATTTGAGTCAATTAAATATAACTATTTCACATATGTCAAATCTACCTTCTGATCCTATGTTGACTGAAGGACAAAAGGATTTTGTTCCTACCCCCAATGAATTCATACATCCCAAACCAGTTAATGAGTCCAACATTGATGTTGAAATGTATGAGCTTATTGAAATGCTTGGTGATTCTGTAATAACTGTAGTTCAAGAAGTTACTCCATCTAAGACAGAAACTGTTCACCCAGAGTCTAGTTCTTTCAAAATCAGAAATTTGCAATCTGTTCTTACTAAATGTCCTGTTATCCCGTTTGAGTCAAATCAAATCCATGTTTCCACTCCTGTTTTGGGTTCTCCTATCAAGGAGACAAGGTAAAACAAAAGAAAAGGCCAGCATGAGAAATTCATTGATCCATCTACTGAGTCTGTTCTATTGCCCTGCACTGAGAAGAAGAGAAAAACTCCAATCATTGGTGAGTTTTATGTAGATCCTCCTGTTCAGCAAGTTTTCAAATAGTTGAGGTCCGCGCGCTACTAAAGGAAAAGCCCTTGTTTCTCCACCTCTGCTACTAAGAGAAGTGTAACTCTTGAGATTACTGATGTTCGAAATATAACTGAGTTTAATCCTGTAGTGGTGAATGATGAGGATGATTCAAAATCGGAATCTATGCTGAAGCGTGAGCTTATAATTCAAAAGAATGTTGATGTTAATCAGTTTAATTCGCTTTGTGATATAATTGATCTTCTCCAAGATGTAGGTTTAATGAGCACTGTTGAAGGAGTTGGCCCCTACTCCAAGTTGCTCACCTTTGAGTTTTATTGCAATCTGACTGACACAGTGAATGATCTCACCAGTCCCAAATGTTATAAACTGTTCATTCGAGGGAAATGGTACAGGTTTAGCCCTGAGGTGATCAACAACTTTTATGGTCTGGATCCTAAAAATGAAGAAGATATCACATATTGGGACCTTGTAGTCAAACTCTTACTGGTGGAGTGTTTACCCAGTGTCTGATAAATGTCAAAGACACCTAGTTTTAGGGTCTCATTTAGGTGCGTTTTGAGCTAATTATGATCCTTTGTGTATCATGTTTAGGCCATTTAAGCTAAGTTTGTGCATTGTGCTATAAAATGAGGCAAAGTGGCATAGGAAGAAACAAAGTGGGAAAAGAAGACAAGCCGAGGCCAAGATAGGAGGCACAACGCACGTTGTGACATCCGTTGTCGCGAAGCAGAAAGATCCACGAGTGGACAACACACGTTGTGACACCCGTTGTGGCGAAGCAGAAAGATCCACGAGGAGAACAACGAACGTTAGACCTCCCATATAAGGGAGCAACCGGATACCAGTGGACCACAAGCCACTTGGTAATGTTAGATGCTTTAATAGAGAGCAGAAAGGCAATTGTCAGTAGCCAGCTACAAAAACAGATGTCCTATATAGTGCAGATTTGAGTTCAAAGTTTGTGGTTTTCCATCGCCTATCTACCTACAACTGGATCCCATCTGCTCACCATTACACTGTTACAAAGGAACTTGCTGCCTTTCTCTTCAGAACTCGAACTAAGAAGAACTTCAATCTTGGTCGAGTCATATTTGAGCATGTCCTTACTTTCATTCACCCAAGAGAGTAGAAGGTGAAGATTCCCTGTCCTAACATGATCTTTGGAATTTTAACATCTCAAGTCTTGAGTCCTTTTAGTCACGAGATTAACCATTCCTCTGCTCCATACAAAGTTGATGAGAGACTGCTCAGCGAAAAACATGTCAAAGATGTGAAACTGGTCGTTCCATCCCTTGATCTTTCTTTGCGTGATGAGAATGAAGAGAATTTTACTCCGCATGTCAAAGACCTGAGGCGTTCTAAGAAGTTGAAGAAACAAGTGGCCGATCTTGAAATTGCCAGTTGTATTATGAACCAACAACTGACTTAGCTAGGACTGAGCTTGCCACTATTCTACTCAGGATGAGTCTATCTAATGCTGATGCTGCCCCCAAAATCGAGAGTGGAGGAGATATTCCTACGGTTTAATCTGGTTACAGACTTCACTAGTTTACGTGCATGTTCTATGGGTCTGTAATAGGTTTGAACAAATGTCCTCTGGAAATGACTTAATATTTTCAGTTTTTGTAATTGCTTGTTTTACTTGGTTTATATTTGGTTAAATTGTATATTTTTTTTTTTTTTTGGAGTTGTTTTGTCAAATAATAGCCAAATGGGGAGTTTGTTAGTGTTTAAATGTCTAAACCCCAAACTTGTAATTAGCTGAATTATTATGGCAAAATTAGATAAGATTAATTTTAGTATCTTTCAGAGTATAAAGTGAAGACTTGATCGAGCAGACACTATGCTAGAACGCATGGAATCTATCAGTTGGACTTCACTGACTTATCCCTGATTATATGGCAGAGCAGTTACTACACATGAGGTGTCTATACAAGAAAGCCCTTATTCACAATTACACCTAAAAGGGTAAGATAAATCTCTTACATTCACTTAATATTACTTGTCTACCGATTAAGTCAGAGTAGTATATATAAGGGAGATGATTCGAGATTGGAGCGAACACTCTACGAAGCATTCTTGACATTTGAATAACTCAGAAAACTCTCACTTGTACTAAAAAAGAAATACTCTGATTCATCTTCTTCTCAAGACATATGTTCTAAAGTTTTACGAAGAAGAACTTGAGAACAAAACACTGATGCATAATCTGTGGACATGAAGACCGTGCAGTTGTGGTACAGTTAAGAGTTAGTCAGTGAATTGGACTGCAACAGAGCGACTTTCCAATAAGGGATATCTTGGACTTCTGATTGCACAGATCTCCGACTTCGACGATCTGCTATAACCACGATAGTTGGGTACTGACCATGTGAGGATCACATTGGGTGAGATTGTTTCATCTCTAACCTTTTATACGTTTGGTGTTTGAGATAGTGGATTGGACTCACTGATGGTCGTCTCCTAGATGTAGATATGGAATGTATCAAACTGGGTAACCAATATCTGTGTCATTTACTTTCTGCCATTTATTTTTTTTTGCACATTAATGTTTACTATTGCAATCCCAGATAGATCAATCGTTTATAGTTTATGTGATATCAACAGTGAACTGTTTAACTCAAAAAGTAACTCATTCAACTTAGATTATCACAATACACGAAATCACAATATATATAGTATTGAATTTAAAGATTACTTTTAGTATATTACAAATCAAAATGAACTTATAATACATTAAAAATGCACCTACAATATACTAAAAATGAGTATGTATCAAAATCTACTTTATAAGATGGATCCAAAGTGCACAGATATAATTTGCCATTGAGGATGGGTTGTTGGTTTGTGATCCACCTTGCAAGGTAAGTTAAATTAAATATTTTTTTTAAACTTAAATTTATTTTTTTCTTGGTACAAATAAAATTAATATATAAACATCTATAATTAAAAAGCTCTAATTAAGATCTTTAAAATGACACCTATATTGATATTTTTATTTTAATGTTTTAAATTAACATGCATACGATTATATTAAGTTACTACACCAAGTTCATTTTCAACATAATAAAAGTTAATTTTCAAAATATTGCATGTTCATTTTTGCATTTGTTAATACAATTATATTATAATAGTGGATCTCAAATATA